TAGTAATAATGCACTAGTTACACAAGAAGTAAATGAAATTAACACTGTAATCAAACCTGATGAGATTTCTGTTAGTTTGTGTTTCTGTAATCATGTGTGTTGAGTGAATATGCTTTTCGAACTGATGTTTTGATCCTAATTGCCAATTGTTTAATTGTTTCATTTGGTAACCTACGAATTTCGTAACATAGAAATTATTGATGTTCTTTGTTTCTTTCAGAATCAAACATTTTTGAAAATTCTTGCGTGAATCTTTTCCAATCTGATTGTATGTCTATAGGTAGAACTGAAAATCATTTTTGAGCTGCGCCATCAAGTGTTGTTTGGATTAACGCTGTGCGTCTATGTACCCAATTTTGATGGAGTGGTGTGTTAATTGGTTCAGGTCCTTTATTTAAAAATAAATTTGCTGTGACTGCATTTAAATAATCTTCGACGGAATATTCAAGATCTGTGCCTGTAAATACCATCAATGGTTTATTTGATGTTATTGACGATTCACCCAATAGGTATGGATTCATCGTCAGTTGTAGTGATTTTGCGCCGTTTGGTAGTTGTGAAAAGTTTGTCAGCTGATTTTTTGTTATTTCATGTTGTTGTAAATAATATGGTAGTGGTAATTCATTTTGCATTTGTGTTGGTTGATAGGAGTGTATACTAATTGGATTTTGTGATTGTACTGGTTGATAAGGTTGTGTATCAATTGGGTTTTTTATATGTATTTGTTGGTGACTTTGTACATCAGCTTGGTTTTGTGGGTAAATCTTTGCATTTTGAAATGTTTGAGGTTGTCGAGGTTTTTGTGTGCAATATTTTTGTGTATATGGTGCAAAAAGATCTGGTTGAAAATAATAATCATCATCAGATGATAAATAGTTTGTATGATAGGGTGTTTGTTGTTTATTTCTATTTTGTTGAAAAAATGGGTAATTTGCGCTATGATCCTGTGAAGGATGTGGATAATCTTGGAAATTTACTGAGTTGGTTGATGGATTTGGAAGATTTCAATATTGAGAACATACATGATTCTGCATGTTTATTCGAGGAGGTTGATTTGTTTTTGATGGATTTACGAAATTATAATTGTGTTCTGCAGAATTCCTTCTCGTGACAGTTTTTCGTGTTTTTGACGGTTTTGTCATTCGTCTATATGTTTGATAGTCCATATGTGAATATTTTGGAGCAACTAAGGGCTTAACCGTTGATTGTATTGTTACTTGTGGTAGTGTTGGATTTTTATTTCTTGGTGTTGTGAGATTTGGATGTATTGGTGCAATACTTCGTTGTGTAGTTGTTACAGTTGTTTGAACTATTTCTTCATTTATAAAATGTGATGGTGTTTGAATATCTTGTTGTGTAAGATTCTTAGTTCCATTTAAATTTTCCTGATGTATGACAGTTGATTTTAAACTATTATTTTGTCTATCGAGTAAGAATGAATTATAGTTCAGAGGTGTTGCATCTATTGTAAGTGGAATTATTTTTACGTAATCTTTGTGAATAGATATTGTACTAATTGCTTGACTTGAGATGGCTGCTGGGATATTTTTGAATAGTGGGTGAGACCATTCTGGGACCCAAACGTAATCTGATTGTTCTGCAATGACAGTTTCGTCATTGGTACTTTGAGGTCTAAAGGTTTTTCTTGCTTGTGCAATTAAACCGATATTATGTGTGAAATAATCAATTATAAACCAAGCAAAAATTTTTTGCAAATCATGTTTAGCGTTTTGTGAGAAGTCATTACTAGTCAAATTTTCACGGATTTTATTTAAAAATGCTGAGAATGCAGCAATTTTTTTTCCTTACTTTTGTATGTCTTGATGTTTGAACTGGTGACGTACATTGTGCTTCTGTTCTTTCTGAAATAGATAGATAACTATATATTAGAGCAAGAACTTCGTTAGTGAATATTGAATTTGCTCTCTGTGAGTTTTGGTATTGTATGTTTTTGATGTATTCTGTGAATACTTTTGAAAATTCTAAATCAATGTGGTCTGTTTGGATAACACATTTACCATGAATTGTTCTTGGTGTACTGATTTCTATGGTGTAGATTCCATATTGCTGTGTTAGGTGACATATTTCTTTTAAATAGTGTTCTACAATTTGTCTTTTGATTTTTATTTCTGAAAATTCTGCTTTGCATGGTCTGATTCCTCGTTCAAATAAATTCCGAGTAAATTTTTGCAAAATTGTGTTTGTCCTCTATCATCAGTAAGTGTGGTGATAATAAATGGAAAAACAGAGTTTTCGTCTGGACTTTCATCACTTTGAGTATGGCTCATTTTTTCGTTTTATGACTGTTAGTACGTAATGTTCAATAGGTCTGATTGGTTGATTCCAATTGTATAGATGTACTGGTTTATGTTTGTATATCTTTTTTATTCGTCTTTTGCTTTGTTTTGATGAGTGTGATGTGGCTTCTGAATCGGAAAAATATATTTGATCATTGGTTGGATAGTTTTTATTTACGGAGTCTTTTACTTTATATAGTGCGTCTAAATTGCTGGCTTCTGATTCCTAAACTGCGTTTCTTCGCTTTGAAAATATTTTTCGGGTAATCTGTCTTTGTTTACTTATAATTTTTCTTTTTATTGTTTGTCGTTTTTTTTCGGATGTATCCAATTGTTTGTGTGTGTGGGGTAATTACAAGATCGTATTTTTGATTGTTTATTTCACAATTGTGTAGTACGATTGTTTGTTTACTTCCTAGGTTTTTCAGTGACATAAGGTTTAGGATGAAGGATGCATGAAGTTATTAGTGATTTTTATGTCCTAGACTGTTAGTCCTTACAATTTTTTGGTTAGCCTAACTTGGGTCTTTTATTCAGGGTTGGAGAGAAAAGTATATATCGATTCCGGAGAATGATTGTTACTTTCTCGTGGCTAATCTAAGTTAAGCTGTTAACTTACCTAATCTTACTTAGGGGTAATGATTGTGTTCAAGGGTTGGAGAATAGTAAATCAATCCACAAGGTTCAGGTATAATTAGAACGCACGTAGTTCGTTAGATACTATTTTAAACTTACTTATAGATTAAGATTTATCCTGGGTCAAATAAGAGGAGGCGTCAAGTGAAGGATGAATAGCCGAAGTTCTTCACTGTTTAGCCTAATTAGAATGGTTAGACTGACTGAAAAACAAAATTGTTCTATTTGATCCAAGGATAAGCCTTGATGATCAGGATATAAAATTTAATTTATACAGTTTTGGTTAAGTTAAATATTTAATTAAGATCCAAAGAAAACCTTGATGATCAGATTAAAGGTTGAATAATTTAAATGAAATAGGGATAAAATTTAGGATAAGCCTTTTTTAAATAATCTAAGTTTAATTGGTAAAAAGGTTCAGTTTTTTTATGGTATTAGTAAATTTATGATTGCTGTTATGTTAAAGTGATGAAGCTAGAGATGACAAGATGATTTATGTTTACTAATAATTTATGATCATTTTACTAATTTTTTTTTTTATTTTCAATAAATATATTTTTCAGATATCTTTTTGAATCAACTGCAGAATTGAGGGAAACGATTTGAGTTGTTTTTATGAATCGTTATTGTACAATAGTAAATTTGATTTAGCGCCTGAAATAATCCTTGAAGATTTCCTTCAAGGACTTCATGTTTGCAATTGAAAATCTAAATTCATTGCTAGTAAAATTCTAAAAATAAAAGTTTGTGTTGGCTTCTGCCGTACGATCATAAAACTTTATGGTAAGTTTCTATGTAGTCGTAGATAGTCTCTTGTCCGAGGTCTTTTTCCAATACCGGGTAATTCTCGTATTGTACGGAATAGCGGTTCTGATCTATTAAGTAGTAGAGAAATTTCAATTAAATTATTGTCATGTAACATTTTGAAAATGTTTTGTCTAATTTCTTATCTATTTTGTTAATTCTAAGCTATTTTGTTTTAAATGTCTTATTCGAGACGTATGGTCGCACCAGATGAGTTAGATGCTTTGTCTGTAACTCATAGAGTAATTTCGGATAGGGTACATCGTCTGCTCGTCACGCTATCTTATTTTCGGCCGGATAGATTCGTGCAATTTCTTAGTTTAATACCGATCCTAATCTTACTCTTATATCTACTAGTCCCAGGGTGTTTAACTAGTCTCTGCTAGGCTCAATAGATCTAGAGTATACTGGCTGATTGCGATCGCTGAAGTTCTCTTGGAGAGGTAACTAATTTCTAAGTTAAATTCAAATCTCTCTGGTGCTGAAACTACAAGTAATTTCAGCACTTACAAATAAGTGGGTTGTTAGTTAGATGGATCATGATTGGTTAAAATTAAATATTTTATAGTGATAAAATATCTAATTTATATCATATAATAAAATTTAGTTTAGATCAGGTTCCATTTTGCACGTTTGAATTATTAGGCTGAACCTCGGCGTGGCTTGGAATCGATTGCACTATTGAGTTTTTGGAGCTCCTTGTTTGATCTTGAGCTGATCTCTGTATTTCAGGTCGCTTTGCGGGATTCTTTTTGTTATTTGAACCATTTGGAAGTGAACGTTTTCTCTCTTGCTGAGGATTTTGCCATGCAGTGCCTAATATATTCGCCAGATTTAGTATTCGGTAAATTATATGATGTTGTAAAATGCGCTTCGAACTGCTTTGTCACGAGTTAACCTAAGTGTTCACTAAACATTTTTCATTTATTGATGGTATATGGTGGTATACTGATATGATGGTATTTTCATTTATGATGGTATATGGTGAAGTTGATGGTATATGGAGGTGCTGTGACTTCTCAAAAGTTTTAGACGTTTTTGACTTTTTGAAAGTTTTAGATGGACATTTTTTACTTTTTGAAAGTTTTAGACGTTTTAAAAACCTTTTTGACGTTTTTAGCATTGAACCGATGCCAAATTCAAGCAACATGATACCTTTATTTTCTACTCGATCTATCTATCTATTCGATATTTGGTCAGTAAAAATTAGTTTAAAACAATTGAAAACTATGTTTATTGCCTGATATTATAATAAAAATTCGCTCTTTCGAAACAATTTTACAATGGCCAGAGGCCAGGAAAACATAAATTACATCACTTCGAATTATCTGACTGACCCACCACACGAGTGTTTTTTCTGCAAAGCAATTCCAAATCGTCTCAACAGCGCAAAATGCTTCTCATGTGGACGTGTGATTCAGAATGAAACCGCCCTGAGGATAATTCGACATGAGTCATCGACTGATCTCTCTATATCGAGTGGGTGGAATTTTAAGAGATCAGAAAAAGCATTTGTGGTGGAAACAGAGAAGGTGATACAACTTCGGCCATGAAATAAAACAATCGACAGAATTATCCAAACTTTATGTAATGTAAGTAATGATAGTGCTCATGAAACTACATTTAGAAACTAGATTATGAAAAAAAGCACTTTTTTAAAATGGATAATTATAACATTTTTAGTTATTCAAAAAAGAAAACAAAACTAAAACAGTGGCCAATATTATCTTGAGCATGTGTTAATTAACTAGTGAACAAAGAACTCGTATCAGTTCTAGAGAGCTAACTATAAATCTATTGAATTTGGGAACAAGTTTACATGAACTTTCAAACCCCTGTTGTGGCAAGTTGCGAATAATTGGATCAAAACCAAGTATTTTTTTTGATTTTTAAAGTTGAACTCTGGAACTAAAAGTATAATTTACTCTAAATGGTATAGGCACGTTTGTAGTAAAATTGACGATAAAGGCTTAGATCAGTGGAAAAGCCGTCTAACTGTTCTCGTCATTGTCCGATATGTCACTTATGTCACTAGCCGGGCCAAAGTCTTCGGGTTTGATTGACACATCTACATATGTAGAGCAGACGAGATTTGTCAAGATTTTCCCCATAGCTGCAAATGGCGCATTTATTATTCCAAATTCAAGAAGCCCTTTCCAAAATTCCAGATTCTTTTCATCAAAAACTTTACGTAGACTGTTCAAATGATCGATGCTGAGACCGGTAAATTTTTGATAATCGGAGAAGCATTCAGGGTAGAACTCTTGCACCCAGTTGGCCGCATATTCCCTTTCTAGTTCCGTCAGTTTTTCTCCTAAATACTCCGGGTCTACAGCATAAGCAACTAGTGCAAATACAGGCGCGTGTTTCTCGTATAGTCTTTGAGCTAACTCAAGCCACTCTCGATCCTCAGTTTTGAGGTTTTCATCGTATTCGGAGAGCAAACGCTTCCATGCATGTGTGCTGCAACCCAGGCCATCATGTTTCATTAAAGATATTGAAGAAGTGAGACTATCTAGAAGATTCTTAGCTCTACCGCAGTTTATTGCGAACGGTCCAGTCAGATCTCTATCGATTCCGGAGAAATTTTCATTGACAAAATTAACTTGTTCATCGATTGAAAACTGCAGAAAATTGTTGCCTGCATGATGTTGGATGCTTCGAAAGAGATCACTCTTTTGCAATTCGACATGTATCTGATTCATTACCTCCTGTTGGCAACAGTACTCGTAAACTGGAGGAAGAGGTAGCGTCTGCTTGTGCAATTGTGGGGGACGATCTAACTGTTTCGTTAGAACTCCTGTTAAAGGCGCGTCTTCAGTTGTTTGTGTGAAAATTTTGTTCTCTAAACAGGCATCGAAAATGACCTGAAAATTAGTCTTACCTCGAACTTGGCAAGGCGTTTCCACAGTGAGATTAAGGTTTCCTTGCGCGAATGTCCAGCGCGATAAAGGCTTTATAGTAAATTTTTCCGGCAGGTGCTGGCAATTGTACTCAATTTCGATTGAAGATGTGACAAAGTCGCTACCGTTGTAATGGATTATTGATTTCAGCATTTCTTGATAATTCAGACTTTCTTCAAAACCATCTGGAATTTTATAACTGGGATGCAATGCTTTGGTCATATTTATGAAACTCTCGTGCTTTGCTTTATCGGCAGGGATTTTGCAGTCAATAAAAAACTTCTCAATAGCCTGATTGATTGTTTTTTTCTCACTTTTGGCTAATTTTGAAACATCTGAATGTTCTGACGAAGTTTTTGTTAATGAATGATTTTTGATCGAGTGCTTTTTCCTTTGTTGATGATACTTCAAGTAATGGAATCTCATTCGGTGCGCTACGCCTGAAATTATTTCAGGCTGTTCGCAGTGGCGGCATTTGGCTTTATTGCCCGGTAGTCTTTTGAACTCCGTCCAAATAGGGTCACGTTTTCTCCCCGTTTTTGCTGCTGCTTCTGCCATTAATGAAAGAATGGTTATGGAGGTTAGAGTAAAAAGTAATTCAAATGCTTGACTTGCTGCCAACTTTTACTCAAAAAATCAATTATCAAATAAATGAATAGCTACTTCCAAACCTGACGTCTCATCACAAATTTTGAAAATGCTCCAATGTTCCTTTTTCATTGAAAATTGGCTGCGGCGTAAATTTTTCATCTTGATCCAAAATAGAATGGTTAACCGAAAAAATGAGATAGGGAATTTCAAATAGCCTGCATTGCCAAAAATAATATTGCAATCGATTATAATCGATTTTTATACAGATTTTCTACTAGTTAAAAATTGATTGTATGTAACCCAATTAGACAATAAAATGGATAATATAGGGATTTTATACAGTTCAGAAAAAAATCGATTTTATAGTCTAGAAAATGGATTTTTTTGAGGTATCAAATCTGTACAGAATCTGTATAGAATCTGTATAAATCGATTATAATCGATTGTAATGCATTTTCTAAGGACCCAAAAAAATCGATTATATTGTCTAAAAAGTTGATTATATTGTTCAAAAAATTGGTTTTTTTACTTTTAGTAGCATGCTGATTGAAGACCCAAAACAAATGTTGAACTCAAGCTAAACGACACAAACTCAAGAAAATCATCAATATAAACCAGATTCGGTAACAAAAATATGCAATAATATCATAAAAATAATCAAAATAAACAAGTTTTTGGGCAAAATATATGTAATAAATGAAGAAAATGGTCAGTATAATTCAGATTTTGAGCTCAAAAATTAACAATAAAAAGGTAGCTGTGCGAGTGCTTTCACCTAATCTTGCAGGAAACATGAAACTTCAAAAAAAAATTGTTCCGACCACTGAAAGTGATGTACCCGGGTCGACGAAAAATGCTTATCATACAATTCTCATATATAGGGAAACTTCTTCTCATGCAATTCCATACGAACAGAAATGTGTATGAAATCTCTATAAATAACATTTTCCCATAAATGGAAATTGTATGACTAACAGTTTTGGTAACACTTTTGGTATTTTTGGTCTGGTTTGGTTTGGTCTGGTTTGGTTTGGTCTGGATTGGTTTGGTCTGATTTGGTATGGTCTGGTTTGGTTTGGTTTGGTTTGGTCTGGTTTGGATTGGTCTGGTTTGGATTGGTCTGGTTTGGCTTGGTCTGGTTTGGTTTGGTCTGATTTGGTTTTCTCTGGTTTGGTTTGGTACGGTTTGGTCTAGTTTGGTTTAGCCTGGTCTGGTTTGGTTTGGCCTGTTTTGTTTTAGTCTGGTTTCGTTTGGTCTGGTTTGGTTTCCTCCGGTTTGGTCTGGTTTGGATTGGTCTGGTTTGGATTGGTTTGGTTTGATCTGGTTCGGTTTGGTCCAGTTTGGTCTGGTTTTGTTTAGTCTGGTTTGGTTTGGTCTGGTTTGGTTTGGCTTGGTCTGGTTTGCTTTGGAATGGTTTGGTGTGGTCTGGTTTGGTTTGGTCTGGTTTAATTTGGTCTGGTTTGGTTTAGTCTGGTTTCTCATATATGGGAAATTTTTTGTCATGCAAATCCATACATACAAAAATTTGTATGAAATCTCTATAAATAACATTTTCCCATTAATGGAAATTCTATGACTAACAGTTTTGGTAACATTTTTGGTATTTTTGGTCTGGTTTGGTTTGGTCTGGTTTGGTTTGGTCTGGATTGGTTTGGTCTGATTTGGTATGGTCTGGTTTGAATTGGTTTGGTTTGGTTTGGTCTGGATTGGTTTGGTCTGGATTGGTTCGGTCTGGTTTGGTTTGGTCTGGTTTGGTTTGGTCTGGTTTGGTTTGGTCTGGTTTGGTTTGGTCTGGATTGGTTTGGTCTGGTTTGGTTTGGTTTGGTCTGGTCTGGTTTGATCTGGTTTGATTTTGTCTGATTTGGTTTGGTCTGATTTGGTTTGGTCTGGTTTGGCTTGGTCTGGATTGGTTTGGTCTGGTTTGGTTTGGTTTGGTCTGGTCTGGTTTGATCTGGTTTGATTTTGTCTGATTTGGTTTTGTCTGGTTTGGCTTGGTCTGATTTGGTTTGGTCTGGTTCGGTTTGGTCCAGTTTGGTTTGGTCTGGTTTGGTTTGGTCTGGTCTGGTTTGATTTGTTTTGGTCTGGTTTGGTTTGGTCTGGTTTGGTCTGGTTTGGTTTGGTTTGGTTTGGTTTGGTCTGGTCTGGTTTGATCTGGTTTGATTTTGTCTGATTTGGTTTGGTCTGGTTTGGTTTGGTCTGGTTTGGTTTGGTCTGGATTGGTTTGGTCTGGTTTGGTTTGGTTTGGTCTGGTCTGGTCTGGTTTGATCTGGTTTGATTTTGTCTGATTTGGTTTTGTCTGGTTTGGTTTGGTTTGGTTTGGTCTAGTTTGGTTTAGTGTAGTTTGGTTTGGTCTGGTTTGGTTTGGTCTGGTTTGGTTTGGTCTGGTTTGGTTTGGTCTGGTTTGGTTTGGTCTGGATTGGTTTGGTCTGGTTTGGTTTGGTTTGGTCTGGTCTGGTTTGATCTGGTTTGATTTTGTCTGATTTGGTTTGGTCTGGTTTGGTTTGGTCCTGTTTGGTTTGGTCTGGATTGATTTGGTCTGGTTTGGTTTGGTTTGGTCTGGTCTGGTTTGATCTGGTTTGGTTTTGTCTGATTTGGTTTTGTCTGGTTTGGCTTGGTCTGATTTGGTTTGGTCTGGTTCGGTTTGGTCCAGTTTGGTTTTGTCTGGTTTGGTTTGGTCTGGTCTGGTTTGATTCGTTTTGGTCTGGTTTGGTTTGGTCTGGTTTGGCCTGGTTTGGTTTCGTTTGGTCTGGTCTGGTTTGATCTGGTTTGATTTTGTCTGATTTCGTTTGATCTGGTTTGGTTTGGTCTGGTTTGGTTTGGTCTGGATTGGTTTGGTCTGGTTTGGTTTGGTTTGGTTTGGTCTGGTCTGGTTTGATCTGGTTTGATTTTGTCTGATTTGGTTTTGTCTGGTTTGGTTTGGTTTGGTTTGGTCTAGTTTGGTTTAGTATAGTTTGGTTTGGTCTGATTTGGTTTAGCCTGTTTTGTCTTAGTCTGGTTTGGTTTGATCTGGTTTGGTTTGTTCCGGTTTGGTCTGGTTTGGATTGGTCTGGTTTCTCATATATGGAAAATTTTTTGTCATGCAAATCCATACATACAGAAATCTGTATGAAATCTCTATAAATAACCTTTTCCCATTAATGGAAGCTCTATGACTAACAGTTTTGGAAACTTTTTTTGGTATTTTTGGTCTGGTTTGGTTTGGTCTGGTTTGGTTTGGTCTGGATTGGTTTGGTCTGATTTGGTATGGTCTGGTTTGAATTGGTTTGGTTTGGTTTGGTCTGGATTGGTTTGGTCTGGATTGGTTCGGTCTGGTTTGGTTTGGTCTGGTTTGGTTTGGTCTGGTTTGGTTTGGTCTGGTTTGGTTTGGTCTGGATTGGTTTGGTCTGGTTTGGTTTGGTTTGGTCTGGTCTGGTTTGATCTGGTTTGATTTTGTCTGATTTGGTTTGGTCTGGTTTGGTTTGGTCCTGTTTGGTTTGGTCTGGATTGATTTGGTCTGGTTTGGTTTGGTTTGGTCTGGTCTGGTTTGATCTGGTTTGGTTTTGTCTGATTTGGTTTTGTCTGGTTTGGCTTGGTCTGATTTGGTTTGGTCTGGTTCGGTTTGGTCCAGTTTGGTTTGGTCTGGTTTGGTTTGGTCTGGTCTGGTTTGATTCGTTTTGGTCTGGTTTGGTTTGGTCTGGTTTGGCCTGGTTTGGTTTCGTTTGGTCTGGTCTGGTTTGATCTGGTTTGATTTTGTCTGATTTCGTTTGATCTGGTTTGGTTTGGTCTGGTTTGGTTTGGTCTGGATTGGTTTGGTCTGGTTTGGTTTGGTTTGGTTTGGTCTGGTCTGGTTTGATCTGGTTTGATTTTGTCTGATTTGGTTTTGTCTGGTTTGGTTTGGTTTGGTTTGGTCTAGTTTGGTTTAGTATAGTTTGGTTTGGTCTGATTTGGTTTAGCCTGTTTTGTCTTAGTCTGGTTTGGTTTGATCTGGTTTGGTTTGTTCCGGTTTGGTCTGGTTTGGATTGGTCTGGTTTCTCATATATGGAAAATTTTTTGTCATGCAAATCCATACATACAGAAATCTGTATGAAATCTCTATAAATAACCTTTTCCCATTAATGGAAGCTCTATGACTAACAGTTTTGGAAACTTTTTTGGTATTTTTGGTCTGGTTTGGTTTGGTCTGGTTTGGTTTGGTCTGGATTGGTTTGGTCTGATTTGGTATGGTCTGGTTTGAATTGGTTTGGTTTGGTTTGGTCTGGATTGGTTTGGTCTGGATTGGTTCGGTCTGGTTTGGTTTGGTCTGGTTTGGTTTGGTCTGGTTTGGTTTGGTCTGGATTGGTTTGGTCTGGATTGGTTTGGTCTGGTTTGGTTTGGTTTGGTCTGGTCTGGTTTGATCTGGTTTGATTTTGTCTGATTTGGTTTGGTCTGGTTTGGTTTGGTCTGGTTTGGTTTGGTCTGGATTGGTTTGGTCTGGTTTGGTTTGGTTTGGTCTGGTTTGGTTTGTTCCGGTTTGGTCTGGTTGGGATTGGTCTGGTTTCTCATATATGGAAAATTTTTTGTCATGCAAATCCATACATACAGAAATTTGTATGAAATCTCTACAACTAACATTTTCCCATTAATGGAAATTCTATGACTAACAGTTTTGGTAACTTTTTTGGTATTTTTGGTCTGGTTTGGTTTGGTCTGGTTTGGTTTGGTCTGGATTGGTTTGGTCTGATTTGGTATGGTCTGGTTTGAATTGGTTTGGTTTGGTTTGGTCTGGATTGGTTTGGTCTGGATTGGTTCGGTCTGGTTTGGTTTGGTCTGGTTTGGTTTGGTCTGGTTTGGTTTGGTCTGGTTTGGTTTGGTCTGGATTGGTTTGGTCTGGTTTGGTTTGGTTTGGTCTGGTCTGGTTTGATCTGGTTTGATTTTGTCTGATTTGGTTTGGTCTGGTTTGGTTTGGTCTGGTTTGGTTTGGTCTGGATTGGTTTGGTCTGGTTTGGTTTGGTTTGGTCTGGTCTGGTTTGATCTGGTTTGATTTTGTCTGATTTGGTTTTTTCTGGTTTGGCTTGGTCTGGTTCGGTTTGGTCCAGTTTGATTTGGTCTG